ACCCATGACAAATAATGCTTAGGCCTCGAACCACCGCGCTCGCACACCAACTCAATTGTGCACGGAGCGAACTCATTACCAAGGCGGCGGTAGAAGAAGCGGAAACAGACTCTAGTATTTATTTCCTATTATTACAAGAACCATGGACCTCAGCAGAGGGATACCCACCAGAATCGAACCTCTTTTATATTTTTACAGCCAGCAATACCAACACAAAATGCGCAACATACGTCCGCAAACATGCCAACCTCAAACCAAAACACCACTACACACACGATAATTTCATAGTATCGATTACGGTAGAAATCCAGAACAAGAAAGCCCAAATCCTAAACATATACTCCCCAGGCCGAAGTGGCCCCTTCGCTCAGATAGCAAGTACAATCCAAACCCTTGATAATTGTCTAGTAATGGGAGACTTCAACTGCCACCATCAAATGTGGTACGGAGTAAATTCACATGAATACAGAAACAATATTCGAGCAGACCGCGTCAATGGTGCACGACTAAAACGGTGGATAACCCGACAGAAACTGTCCCTCCTGAACGAACCAGGCGTCTTTACGCATTTCCCCAGAGACAGAGGGAAAAGGCCCACAACCATCGACCTTACATTTGTAAAAGGCCCAATACTCGATCACAACCTACGATGGAGCACTGAACCCTACGGAGCGGGCTCAGACCATGGGAGAACCTCCGTTCACTTACACTTGGAGAAACCACCTTTTGTACCAAGACGAATGTGGCGACAAACAGACTGGAAGCTATTGGAAAACCACATGTCAAACATTTCCATCCCTGCAGAGGCATGGGAAACCAAGGATCTTACGGAACAGACTGTTGATTTCTTTCTAGAACTGGTCAGGTCAACAGTCAGCATAGTAACACCGCTCTCGAAGGAGGGGGTAAGAGCCAACTCCTGGTGGTCAGATGAAATGAAACAAATGAAGGCAAAGGTAAATGCAGCAGAAAGGAAGGCGAGGAACACAAGGAAACCCAATCACGTGGAGGAACACCGGAAGGCTTGCAGGGAATGGACAGTCATGATCCGGAAAGCAAAAGCGGACCAGCGGGAAAAGACGATGAACGAGGCGAAAGGTAGTGAAGTCTGGAGAATCCTAAACGCAGGAAGAAGAAGAGACACAATCATACCAACCATACAAGGTGAAGAAACGTTTGCGGGGAAGTGTCAAGCTCTAAGAGCCCAACTTTTCCCCTCGAAACGGACGTCCCCCGACCATCCCCCCCTAAACATTAGACCCCCCTCTTTTGACCTTAGCAACACCTTCGACATAGTCACCCCCGAAGAACTTAATAAAGCAATCGACTCCTGTCCAGCGCACTCGGCGACCGGCCCGGATGGCATTCCTTATACCTTTATTAAAGCAATAGTCAAAGCAAATACAACTATAATCCAAGACATGTTCTCCGCCATGCTCCGGCACGGCGTACACCCAGCGGAATGGAAGATAGCTAAGTGTATCCCGATCCCGAAACCCGGTAAAGCAAACTATCATGACGCAAAAGCCTACCGGCCCATTTCCCTTCTACAATGCTTCAGTAAAATCCTGGAGAAGATAGTGGCCCAAAGACTCTGCACCGCTGGAGAAATTCTAGGCACACTCTCAGCGAATCAATTTGGAGGAAGACCAACCATCTCGGCAATCGACGCCCTGCTGAGAACCTTAACGCCAATACAACAAAACCTACTACTGAAAAACAGTACCGGAGTCGCGCGGCGAGACAGACCAGCGATCCTAACCAATGATATCCAAGGAGCATTTAACTGCGTCGACCACCTACTCCTCGCGGAAATCATGCAACAACAAAAATTCCCTACCTACTTAACAGAATGGTGCAAGGAATTCAATACCGGCAGAAAACTACAGTTTCAATTCAACCATGAGCTAGAAGAACCACAGCCCTATGATTCTGGAGTGCCGCAAGGTAGCCCCATGTCCCCGGTGCTATTTATGATCTATGCTGGGGTAATCCTGGACCCAACAAGCAGCCCGAAAGAGATGGACACTACTTACATCGATGACGACGCGCTGGTACAAATATCCAAAACACCAGGCTTCACAATCAAGAGAATGGAGGAACGAATGAGAGAGAGACTAATAAAAGCTGAGCCACTCCAAATTAAATACGACCCGGATAAATCCGATCTGATCTTCTTCCGGCCTACCACATCATCCATACAACAACCACGACTTCCGGTCAAAGTTAACAATATCAATATACACCCCAAGGAAAGACTGAAATATGTAGGAGTCTGGATAGATCCGACCCTCTCCTTCCGGCCCCACATTGAAGCAGCGATCGCAAAAGGCCTTAAAGCCCTCCACCAGATTCGATACACAGCCCGCTTGCCAGGCATAACGGTCAAAACAATCCATCATATCATAACACAAGGCTTCCTCCCAAGCCTACTCTACGGATCCGAGGCTTGGTGGACCGGTGCAGACCACATTATAAGATCCCTCGAACCACTATATAATGAAGCGGCCCGGATCATCACCGGCCTACCACGATGGACCAAAAGAGCCAAACTCCTCCGAGAAGCAGGCCTACCCCCCTTAGAACACCTCCTGACATATCGCTCAAGAAAGTACGGAACCAGAATACTCTGCTCCGAGGCAACCCACCCCAACAATGAATCCCTGATCGAGCTCCTCCCTTACAAAGAAGCAAATATCAAAGGAACAGGCCTACACCGAATCGCTTCCCTACTACTCCCATACCAGACCCCTGGAAATGCGAGAGATAAGTGGAACCAAAATAAACTACTACGCGACCACCTGTTGGAAGAATGGAACACACAATCAATACCGAACTACCACCACCGGGGGGAATTCCGCCCCCCTCCCAAGATAGCGAAACTCACCCTTACGGAAGCAAAAAAAGTATTTCGAATCCGGTGCCAAACCACCCGAATCGACAAACACGCAGTATATACAGACCCCGAACCATGCCAGTGTGGTATGGAAAACTCAGCGAAACACATACTCATGGAATGCCCAGCGTGGGCTCGAATCCGTACCCCCCTGATAGAGAAGATCCCCGGAGCGATGACCTGGGAAAACTGGATGTTTACAAACCTGAGAACGGACCTCATCCTACAATTTGCGAAACAATCTCAACTCTCGAAATGGTACGAGTCGGCGGAGGCGGAGGCGGACCTGGAAGAGGGGATGGAAGAAAATGACCGGGAACGGGATTAGGAAGGGGAGTTTCCTTTTTACTCTTTAAAAAATTTTTTTTTTTGATTTGATGGATCCAGCGCTCGAGTCCGCTGAGATATGTTATTTCTCCTTGTCGTTGGGTTTTCTGGTCGAAGTGTTGTTCTGGATTTTCCCTGTTATTGTTTGTGCTCGCTTGTGCTTGTTTTGTTCTTGTTTTTGTTCTTGTTCGTTTGCGTTTGCGTTTGTTGTTTGTTGTTTTTCTTTCTTTCTTTTGTTCGGTTCGGTTTGTGTTTTAGGCGGTTGGGTCGGTGTGCGATAAGTCTTGTACTTTAAAGCAATATAAGTTTCTTCTTCTTCTTCTGCATTCTCCCCGCTCGCCTCTGGCTCGCGGTAGGATTTCTTCCCCCCGAGATGGAGTTATACTGATTCTCGAATTGCTTCGGTCCCTGAACTTCCCTCGCTCGACACCCCCCATTCTTTGCTCGTTCGGTGCCCTCACGGGATGCGTCCACCGTTCACCCCTCGCCAAAACGACGGCCACCGCCAGACGGTCGTTCCCCCTCCTTACTTTCGCTCATCGCACGAGTGATCCCACACGTCGGGTACGCACACTGTCAGTAATCTCCAGTCAGCGAGAACCTACTGCCAAAGCGCTCGACAGCCCGCGAAGTTAGCGACCTCTCGGTCGCGAAACTATCGTCAAATTTTTACCCGAGGTCCCGTGACCTTACCCCTCTTTATCGGCCTTAACCAGGCCACCCACTTTTACCCGAGGCGGCCCGCTCCCCTCACCCCAACTTAACCGGTCTCCGAGACCACCCTCAATACAATACGGTCGGCACTTTCGATTGCGACCCCCATATATACTGAGCCTTCGGCTCACCCCTTCTGCATGTCCCCCCCAGAGGACACCACTTCAACTACGACTCGGGCACAGTCTTTAGCCGTTGCTCCAGGGACCGACGACCCCACCCATTCTTAACTGACCTACCGGTCAACACTCCTTAATTCCTCGCTGCCTGACAACCAGATGCCCGAGGTCCCACTCTTGAACAACCCCCCCTCGCTTCCACCCTGACGCTATTGCGGTTGGCCTTTCCTGCCTTCGTGCGCATGGTTTCCCAGTCCTGTTAAGGTCCGTCCACAGATATGACACCGGGAACGTTGGTAATGATATCGTTTCGATTGAACACTATGTATAGGATTGTGCTCGCTTATGTAGTTGACGGAGAAGTTTGGGGTTCACTCTTACTACGGGGAGGTTTCTTTGTTGTCGCTTAGATTCTGCTTACCTGTACCACTTGTTATTCGCGCCCTCTTCGTGCGCTGTTTTTCTTATCATGTACGTAGTTCTCGTAGCTGCGGTAGTTAGTTTTTGTACTTTGTTTTTGCTTTCGGGTTAGTCGGTGGAGGTTGTAGTCGGGTAGTTAGGTGTGCGATAAGCTTCGGCTTCTAAGCAATATAAGTTTCTTCTTCTTCTTCTTCTGTATTTATTCCACGAATACTACTTTTGTTCTACGCTACGTCATAGGGCTCATCTTGGATCTCAGATCAGGATTGAACCGCCTCATAGTCCATAGTTACGAACACCTTCTACTACGTTCTTGCCTCGGTTGTATTCCTTGGCACTATAGTCCATCGTTCATAGACCCACATTATATTTTATCGTCTACGCCTACTATAAGACCAATCGTGGGATTGCCGTCAACCATCCGGAATTTGAGAGTTGTATCAACCCGTCTTTTATCTGCCTGGTTTCTACTGTACTTTACCATGCGCTGAGAGTCCACGTAATTGGAGGCAGGAACTGGAAGAATGGTGTCTTCAATAAGGACTATTGCGGCGGTGAGCACCCCGTCTTTCATCTGGTCAGGTTATCGACGGGCATCATTATTGACGGTGGTGCTAGTAATTTTCGAGAGGCACATGCGCACATGGAAGAGGTCCTTCCCCGACGATGAGACGTCAAATCTAGTACTGAAGGGGATTCGACACGAGATATTGAAACGGATTAAGAGGACAAACTGCTGCAGGATTACCGCTACGGAGAGCAGGGAGGCAATTATTGACCCTGGAGTAGGCAGCTTTTTGGAGGGTCTCCGATCCAAGCTCAGTACGGAGACTGACGACGACGATATAGGGTCCGACGAGGCAGGCGACCCGCCGTTTGACGATGACGACGGGGAGGAGGGCAATGTCACTCCACCTACAGTCGGGGACTACGTAGTCGATGCAGAAAGCCAGATAGATGGGACTATTGGAACAATTACCGGGATTAATGTAAATATTGAAAACGACGTAGAGAGAGATGTCAGTATGATGCAGGGCGGAGAAGAGCACTCGGGAGAAGTGGTCAGAAGACGGAGAGGGAGACCGCGCAGGAGCAAAGTACAAAGGGTCAGATAGCTCTCACCTAAATAGATGAACTAGCTAGAGCGAGGGGCGTCAAAAGACAATGAATCAATAGACAGTATCACCTAAAGAAAATTCAAACGTAGAATCAAGGGACGGAAAGACGAAGAGTTTAGACCAAAAGACGAGATATAGTTGCCGTAAGACGAGATGTGCGAATGAAAAGACGAAGAGTGTGAACCAAAAGACGGGATAGTTGTCGGAAGGCGCAGATTAGTGAAAAAGGACGATATAAACTGTCAAAAGACAGAGAGTGCGAGCGGAAAGACGATATGTAGTGGTCGAGATAGGCAGGTTGAGGACATAAGTCGGCCAATATGACGTAGGTAATTAGACTAAAGGCGAGGTGACGAGGGCGTAGGACGACTTTCATAGACCAAGATGCGAGCACAATGGTAGAGGGGCTACCTCCTATGTCCAGAAGACGAGCTCGTCTTTAGACCTCGGGACGACGTCTTTGAGGGATGGGAGAAGGTTTTCGTCTTTAGCCTTCGCGACGTCGTCGGTTGACCAAGAGACGCAGGGCTCTCGTCGCGGGGCACCCAGGTGTCGGTATGCAGGTAAGAAATCGCTTTGTGTCGTCTGAAGCATCTGGGGCGTCTGGGGCGCCCAGGCGTCACAAGACGAGACTTCATTTTTTGCTGATGTTAAGGAAGGGAAAGAGCCCCCTTTTGGGCCACTTTATGGTATGTCCCGTGAGGAACTCATTGTGCTTAAACGATACATACAGGACAACCTTAAAAAAGGCTTCATTCAGGCCAGCTCTTCGCCTGCCGGTGCCCCTGTCCTATTTGTTAAAAAGGCCGATGGAACACTCCGCCTCTGTGTCGATTATCGTGGCCTCAACGAACTCACTGTCAAAAACCGCTACCCGCTGCCACTCATCCGGGAAACTCTCGACCACCTTTCCAAAGCCAAGTGGTACACCAAACTTGATCTTCGCCAAGGGTATAATCAGATCCGAATGGCTGAGGGTGAAGAATGGAAAACAGCCTGCCGAACGCGTTACGGGCATTTCGAATATACGGTGATGCCCTTCGGCCTTACCAATGCACCAGCCACCTTTCAACATTTCATCAATGATTGCGTCCGCGACTACCTTGATATGTTCTGTACAGCCTACCTCGACGATATTCTTATTTACAGCGACACCTTCAAGGAACATCAAATACACGTCGAAAAGGTCCTGGAAGCCCTACAAAGAAATGGAGTACTGTTGAAACCGGAGAAATGCGAATTTCATACACAAAGCACCACTTATCTCGGCCTTATTATCGAACCCAATGGTATTAAAATGGACCCAAGAAAAGTGGAGACAGTGAAGAATTGGACCGTCCCCAAAACAGTTAAGGATGTGCAAGCATTTCTAGGTTTTGCTAACTTTTACCGCCGATTTATACGTGGATTCTCGGAACTGGCTTCCCCCCTTAACAGACTGACGCGTAAGGACATATCATTCGGATGGACACCCGAAGCCCAAACCGCCTTCAACGCCCTGAAAGAAGCCTTCACCACGGCTCCCATTCTTACTCATGTTGACCCCGAGAAAGAAATTACTGTGGAAACCGACGCATCTGACTATGTCTCTGCCGGTGTACTCTCCCAATATGATGACAATGGTACCCTTCGACCTGTCGCATACTTCTCAAAAAAGCACTCCCCCGCCGAATGCAACTACGAGATTTACGACAAGGAACTACTGGCAATTATTCGGTCTTTTGAGGAGTGGCGACCGGAACTTGAAGGGGCTGTACACCCAATCGCCATCATATCCGATCATAAGAATCTCGAATACTTTATGAGTACCAAACAACTCAACCGGAGACAAGCACGGTGGGCAGAATACCTGTCACGGTTTAATTTTGTTATCAAATACCGACCAGGGAAACAAGGAGGGAAGCCGGACGCGTTGACAAGAAGATCAGGAGATCTCCCTGGAGAGGGGGATGAAAGACAATTGCATCAGAGTCAAGTCGTGTTGAAGAAGGAGAATCTTGATGCAAAGCTAAGTTTGTTGGCGGGTTCTTTCTCAAACGAGCCCGCTGAAGAGAGGTTACGATGCTTTAATCAAAAGTGAGAAGAACGGTGACAAAAACGATGGAAACATTAAAAACGAGAGCGACGATAATGACATTGATCAAGAGCTTGAGGATATGTTTGGCGTTGGGATTACGGCCCAATCAAACCGAGATGAAGCCCAGAAACAACTGGAGAAGCGGGATAAAAGAGCTCGTTCAAGGGCCGTCAAAATCGAAGATGATGCAAAGTAATTAATCCCCTCATCCTGCTAGTATTTTGCATTTTCTTTTCTTTTATTTTCTTTTTTTCTCTTTGACGCTCAATGGCTAATTCATTAAATCAATCTTGCCAGTTCTGATCAGTCAAAGAAAAGGACGAGAATTCAGCCAGCCCCAACCTCACTGCAGGAATTATTCGATGAAGGATATAGCGCTGACCCGTTTCACCAAAAGATACTGGATATGCGGAATAAAGGCGATCGACAATCAAAGGACATATCACTCGCCGAATGCACCGAGGTTGAAGGCCGATTGCTTTACCGAGGCAGTATATATGTCCCTGATTACGACCCTCTTAAGCTTCGAATCCTCCAACTTTACCATGACGCTGCCTCTGCTGGACACCCGGGACGCGAAAAAACATTCGAACTCGTCAGTCGGGACTACTACTGGCCCCTCATGCGAAATTAGATTGCCCGCTACGTTCGGAACTGCCACACCTGTCAACGAAGCAAGCCCAATACCCATGGAAAACTCGGCGTACTTCGATCTTTACCGATTCCCGAACAACCATGGCAGGAGGTATCAATGGACTTCGTTACCGGCCTACCGGAGAGTGAAGGGTACGATGCAATTATGGTAGTTGTTGACCGGTTAACGAAGATGCGACATCTCCTGCCCTGTAATACAACTGTCAACTCCGAAGACGTCGCCCAACTATACCTGCGAAACATATGGAAGCTCCACGGGCTACCCACACACGTCACCTCCGAGCGCGGTACGCAATTTACAGCCAAGTTTTGGAAGGCTCTTTGTAAACACCTCAACATCGAAGCAAGGATGTCTACCGCCTTCCACCCGGAGACCGACGGCCAAACCGAAAGGCTCAATGCTGTCATGGAGCAATATCTACGTGGGTATGTCTCTTATCAACAGGACGATTGGGTAAAATGGCTTCCTATGGCAGAATTCTCCGCCAACAACCAGGTCTCCGCATCCACTAAAGCTACACCATTCTTCGCGAACTATGGATTCCACCCCCGGTTCACAGTGACGATTAAATCGCTTGACAGGACCCCACCGAGTCTCAATGCTAAAGACTTCGCCTTGAAGATGAAAGAACTCCATGGGTACCTACGTTCCAACATCCGCACGGCGCAAGATCAACAAGAGCAGGCCGTCAACACCAAACGAACGCCGGCTCCACGGTACGATATCGGCGATATGGTGTTTGTTTCAGCAAAAAACATCCGAACTACGCGTAACTCCCGGAAGCTGGACTGGAAGAAGCTGGGACCGTTCCCCGTTAAAGAAATTATATCGCCATATGCGTATCGAGTCGACCTGCCTAGGAGTATGAAGATGCACCCCGTCTTCCATGTATCATTGCTAGACCCCGCTGCAAACGATCCTGTACCGGGGCAAATTCAACCACCACCCCCACCTGTTATCGTCGAGCAGGAGTAGGAGTATGCAGTTGAGGAAATCTTGGACTCGCGAGAAACACGGAATGGTGGCCTGCAATATTTTGTTAAATGGACAGGCTATACCGACCCTACCTGGGAACCCGCCGCATACCACGATAATACCGCCGCCGTCGATATCTTCCATACACATTACCCCGACAAACCTGGACCGTTGGAAGGCAAGATTAAGGTTAAGGCTCGCAGGAGCTCGCGCTTGAAGGGAGGGGCTACTTTCATGGATCGATTAGTGGAGGTACGGGGTTACGAAGAGTTGGATTAGTCAGAAAGGTTCTATTGTGTTCTATCGGGTTCTGTTGATTGTTAATGTATGAGTCATGTTGGATTTGTCATCGCTGGGATTTCCTTGAGTATATTAAAGGGGGTTGTTTGTACTTCTCGTTCTTTTCCTTCTTCTTTCTTTACGCAACATCTTCTGTATCTACGCTGTTTATTGCTATACAATATTATCGTCCTCTTCTTTCTTTAAGAAGACCACCGCCTCGCTTTCTCCGTGTCCCGTCGAACCTTACCACGCTAGAGTCCCGTAGTACCCCTATTGCGAGTTCCCATACCGTCCCCTATTCACTCCTCGTACCCTGCGGAATACTCGCTACTCACCCCCTTGAGAACCACTGCCAGTACCAGAGCAATGAGTAATGCTCGGAGGAAACCAACTGGTGTTGTAGCGGAGGTCATTGCTTCCTCCGACATATCGGTGGACGTGGTACAGGTTCGACTCTATCTTGCTCTTTGATACTTTTTAACATGTAAGTATTAGTGGCTAATGATTCAGAGGGGAACTCAACGGGGCGCGAAAGTAATACATAAGTAAGGGAGAGCAGTACCCACTTCAGAACCTAGCCAGAATGCATCTCAGCGAGCACTTCCGGCATTCCAGGGAGTACTTCCGACATTACAGGGAGCACTCCTGGCATCCCAGAGAGTATTCCCAGCATCCCAGAGAGTACTCCCAACACCCTCACAGTACAGGCCCTCTGCACCTGTCTATCCTCATGAGTATACCTCTTCTACACGCCATATCGATTTTTCCTCGATCCGCTCTCTATATGGGGAGTCATCCCTCATTTACCGGACATATCGTTCTTCACCGCCTAACGAGGTAATTGGCGAGCACTCTGTAAGCAGTCATCAGATTTCTTCAAGCCAACATCACGGTCAAGTTCGATCGCAAAGAGTCTACAAAATCGAGTACCTTCCCTCATATAGGGAAGAGAACGGGAGTGCTCCGATACCGGAAAGGGACGGTATTTTGATTCCGGGAAGTGAGGTTAGCATTCCGGAGGGCACTCACGATGTCTTTGAGAACAGTGGCGACATTCCTTCGAGACAATTGACTCAAAGGTGTTTGGTCTCTAACTCTAGGAGTGCAAATATGCTGTCAGTGCAGGCTCAGAGGATTGAGAAGTATTGTAGCGTGTTAATCGGGGAGCATACTCTTCAATATGAGTCCTTTCCACCTGTAGCAAGACTTTCGATACTGGTAGTGAGCATGTAGGCAACTGCAAGTTGCCGAGTGGGGTATAGAGTATACCTTGATGTGGTTGTTATTAAACAGGTGAGTGCCCCCAGAGGGATTACGAGTGTTCTGGAAGCATAATTGAGAACGATAGGTCAGAAGTCTGCACTCCTGTATCCGTTCCCTCTTGATGCGCGAGGTGAAAGGTCGCATGGCGGACTCTACGATATATGGGCTTGGAAATCTTGTGGGACCTGAGGCAAGGGCGGCTCAAGTGGAATACCTTTTGAAGAATGATTGTTTCTTGAGCCCCCAAGAGCATTACAAGGTATGATGGATACCTAGAGAGCACTCGGGATAGCTGCTGACAGATTCTAGACCTACCGACTGCACTTCCTGACACTGGAAATTATCGATATATTATATTTTAAATACATCAATGGGGTAAGAATGCGAGGAGTTAAGGATCCAGAATTTCTAGAGCTGATAACCCCTACCCTTATTTGCCTGATATCGACGGCAATCTGTCACGGCATTCGGGCGTGGTCAACAGGGAGTTACTTGAAGCCTGATAATTTTCAGTCGCAGAATGAGAGTTTTGTGAGTAAGTATGGCCCGATTCTGTCATTGATATGGCGAGTACCCTGAAAGCAATGGCGGATGCTCCTAGGGCTATACGGGATTGCCGAGCTGATATCCAAACTCGAGTAGAAACGTTCAACAAGATGAGCAAGACTTGGAATGGGAGAAGTAAACAGAACCAGGAGGCCACCTTTCATGGATCGACTAGTGGAGGTACGGGGTTATGAAGAGTCGGATTAGTCAGAAAGGTTCTATTCGGTTCTACCGGGTTCTGTTAATCGTTAGTGTATGAGTCATGTTGGATTTGTCATCGTTGGGATTTCCTTGAGTATATTAAGGGGGGTTTTTGTTTGTATTTTGTGTTCTTCTTCTTCTTCTTTCTTTACGCAACGTCTTCTGTATCTACGCTGTTTATTGCTATACAATATTACCGTCCTCTTCTTTCTTTAAAAAGAAGACCACCGCCTCGCCTTCTTCGTGCCCCGTCGAACCTTACCAACGCTAGAGTCCCGTAGTACCCCTATTGCGAGTTCCCATACCGTCTCCTATTTATCCTCTTCGTACCCTGCGGAACACTCGCTACTCGCCCCCTTGAGACCACCTTGGAGGGAATCAAAGATAACCTTCGAGAAAATGTATGATACTTCTAGATGCTGGTAATGCGAGTGGTATTCTAAATGCTAACCCTAATAGATACGAGATAAAAAGGGGGTAACTATTGAGGTGATACCGGAGGACAGTTTTAGCGAGGACGATCAAGCGCTAGCTGCAGATCTTGCCGTATTCTGAAATGCTCGGAGAACACCCACGAGTGCTCCAGGAGGTCGGGTTGGTTCCGACAGTGCCCAAGACAAAGTGATTAATGCCCAACTTCGCGGCATTGATACCGAAGAGGATGGGGAGGAGGCAGAAGAGGAACCGGAATTACCTGTAGCGGGGGATTACGAAAGGGGGGGGGGAGCAGAATGTGTAGAACAATTGTGAGTGCTAAGGAAGATAGTGGGGGATTTGTTCTTTTCTGTATATTGTATTAGGGTTAGTTAGGGTGTTAAATAGCGTATTGTTTTAGTATTAGGTGGAGGATCACGGTGTTGAATAGACCAATTCTCAAAGTGCAGTCGCGAGTGCTCTGGAAGCAGTAGAGATCGTCGTATGAGTGATGTTTTGGTAATCTCATGGGGGAATTGTGAATACCAGAGGCTGGTACGGCAGAGAGCTGCATGCCTTGAGAGAATGGGGCGCCGACATATAGGAATCGGTACATCAGGCGTGAGCCACGTTTCAAAGTACCCGATTTGGCAATGTCAGGAGGAGTCAGGGCAATCATTCTATCTCAGGGCCCGCTGGAGCAGTCGGGAGTGCTCCAGGAGCAGTCAGGATATACTAGCGAGCAACTGGCATTCTCTGACGACCGGACTGACGTTCAGGTTATGCTGAGTGCTAGGATTAGGTATCGGGGTGCATTGGGCGGACTACTGTGCGCTGGGGCTGGCAACCGTATGCCACGGGCATCTGGTGAATGCTGCAAGTTTGCTGATGTGCTAGTAGTTCAGTACCCAAACAATAGTCCCTCGCAACGCACGCGATACCCTAATCTTTTTTTTTTTTACACACTAGTCTATTAATGCCTCCGCCACTAATATTCCACGCCAACAAATCGTGACCATAGTTCAAGATTGTGGCTACTAATAGATCAATGACTGTGACGTGTCTGAGCATACGTCTCATATTATGACTGTCCTCCTTATCGATTCTTGTACGCTATTAGCACCTTGCTGTAGCTGCTAGTAGCCACAGTATTATTATTACTTCAATATCAGTACTGAGTGCTAGTAAAGCGGCGCCAGGAACGCGAGTGATAACCCGTGATACGCGGACGAGTGCCGAATAATGCTGGCCACTGCGTGCGGGGGGGAACGTGCTGGGGAGAATGGTTAGGAACACTAGGGACTATGTGGGCGGTGATGCATGGCCGTTGATTTCATTCGTGTCTTTTTTTTTTTTTTTTTTTTTTTTTTTTTTTTTTTTTTTCGCTGTGGGGTATCCCACATAGGTGTTGTTGGCCTTTATGATTGCTGGGTGTCCCGCGCGGGGGGGGGGGGGGGGGGGGGCCGTAATTGTGGCGCGAGAACTGTAGCTCTAGAGACTATTAAAGTGCCGGACAACCTTCGCCAGTGCCGTATTACCTGTGGATATAAATCCCATCCGTCCCGATCCCTGTCTCAGCCCCCCCCCCGCATTACCACCAATAGCAAAAACCCCAGGAGTTGGAGCGGTAATGATAATACCCCGTAAATTACCATCCACATTCCCGACATGGCTACATGACATAAAAACGTACCATACAAAGTGAGAAAGAGAAGAAGGGAAAAGGAAAAGGAAAAGGTTGCATGCATGCGCCCAGCGTCTACGTACTAGCTATCTATCTAGCTACTCTGTGTAGCTGCGTAGCTATGTACTCGTGTCTATCATTTTTTATACTAAAAAATGCACCCACCCCCCACCTCCCCGACCTCGCCCCAGCCCCATCACCACCGCCGTTGTCCAAAAGGCACAAAAGAAAAAGAAAAAGAAAAAGAAAAAACAAAAGAAGAAAGGAAAGAAAAACCAACTAAAACTTATCCCAATTCTCATCATCCCACCCATCCTTCTTCTTCGCCCCACCCCCATGCCCGCCATTCACCCCCCCATGCCCCCCGCTCCCCCCCTGCCCAAGCCCACCCCCCATCCCCTTCTTCACCGCCCCCGTCCCCAACGCACTATGCCCCCTCCCCCCCCCACTCCCCCCCTCCTCCCCAAACGAATCCCAAAACGCCCTCCTCTCCTCCGGCAACTGCGCCGCTCCCCTCCCCGCCCCTCCCTCCACAAGCCTCCCCAGCGACCCCACCCCATCCTGCACCTTCCTCGCCAGCTCCACCTCCGCAATCCTCGCCGCCGTCGGCTGTATCACAGCCTCATTAACACTCTTGGCGGACCGCGCCACCGTGCCCGCGAAGAAGCCAAACCCCTTCGTCAGCGCGCCGACCGGGTCGCGGCTGAACTCGTCGAGCGTCGGCGCCTCTGACGCTGGCGGCGGCGCAGGACCGGGGGAGGAGCCGAAGCCGGCGTATTTGCCGCCTTGCGAGGGGGGCAGGTCGGAGGGGCGGGTGGCGTTGGCGGAGCCGAGGCGCGCGAAGAAGGATTCGTTGCGGTCTTTGGTTGTTGGTGGGGGGGAGGAGGAGGAGGAGAGGGCGGCGGTGGAGAGGGGGGTGGGTGTTGTGGTGCGGGCGGTGGTGGTGCCGGCGGGGCGCGTGGGGCGGGTCCAGGGGGTGTTTGTGACGTCCGCGGTGAGCTAGAAGGAGGACTGGGTTAGGTGTGGTTGTGCGGAGGGGAAAAGAAAGGGGGGGGGGGGGGTGCCTTTTCTTTGTAGTCCTCGCCGAAACTGCTACTGTACAGGTCGGCGATACTCATGTCTTTGTGGAAGCCGTCCGAGGCCTCGAAGAATTCCTTGCACTTTGCGTTGCCGCCGCTCTGCATGCGCAGGATCTCGTCGGCTTTGAACGAGTCCATGGTGATGCTGCGCACGAACGAGATGTGCACGCCGAGCCCGCGGTGCACGCCGGCGCAGCTGAGGCAGATGAAGATCTAGGGCGGGCGGGGTTAGAGGCGAGGGATGGGGGATGGGGGATGGGACGGGGGCAATTGACGTACGCCGAACTTGGGGCTGGCCCATTGCGGGGCGGGGGCGCCGCAGTCGCAGCAGGCGTTGTTGCCGGGCTTCTTTTGGAGCTCGAGGAGCTGTGGGGGTTAGCTGTGGGTGCTGGGGAGAGAGGGGGGGGGAAGGTACCTTGCGCCGGGTTTCGGGGTCGATTTCCCACATCTTGGACATGGTGGGCCGAGTGAGGGGTTGTGAGCGGGGGGGGGGGGTGTGTGTGTGTGTGTGTGTGTGTGCGAGTGAGGTGTGTGCGAGTGAGGTGTGGTGTGGTGGAGCGGGCAGGCAAAGCAGAGGGGGCCTGTGGCTGTGCGAGGGACGTGTGTTGGGGAGGTGTGTGATGTGATGTGATGTGATGTGATGGGACGGGATGGGATGGGATGGCTGGGGTGTCGCTTCTCGTTCTCGCTCTCGCTCTGTGCCCGACCCCTTGCGTGTGCATGGAGCAAAGAAGGGAAAGAAAGAAAGAAAGAGAGAGAGAGCTGCGTGCGGTGTGCGGTGTGCGCTGTGTTACCCGGCCCCGACACAGGCGATAGCTCGTTTGTTTGTTTGTTTCACCCACCTGCTGGGGCTCTGATCAAACCCTCTCGTCAACACCCCCGAAAACACAGAGCCCTTAACCCGCCACCCAGAACACACATCACCACCGCATCATCACCACCCCCCCCCCATACCGCAAATCCCACAACCCCCACCTCTTCAGCAAACAACACCACACACAATGGACTTCGCCTCCATCCTCGCCCGCGAAATCTCAAAGAAGCGCAAAACCTCCCCCCCCGCCGACACCCCCACCCCCGCCACCACCACCACCACCACCGCCGCCGCCCCGCCACCAAAGAAATACCTAAAGCGCTCCGAAGTCGAAGCCCAACGGCGCGCAACCTACGAAGCGGAGCAAGCCGCCCTCGAAGCCCAACGCGCCGCCAAAGCCGCCGAAAAGCGCGCCGCCGAGGAGGCCGAGTTCCAGCGCCGCGAGGCCACAAAGGCAAAAGCCAAAGCCCTCGCCTTGGCGCGGCAGGCCAAAGCCGACGAAGAGAAGGCGCGCAACGCGCCCGTGGCGGAGGCGCCCGAGGAGGCGCAGGAGATGACGGACGAGGATGCGGTGCGCGCGTTGCGGGCGCTGGGCGAGCCGGCGAGGCTGTTTGGCGAGGGCGCGGGCGGGCGGGTGCGGAGGCTGAAGAGGTGTCTTGCGGCGGCGGAGGCGAGGAAGGTTGCTGAGGCGCCCGCGCTGACGGGCGAGGAGATGGTGCTGGATATGGCGGATGTGGGCGTGGATGACGCGAAGGTGTATCGGCAGCTGAGTGCGTGGTTTGCGCTGGTGCTGAGGGAGTGGGAGGTGGCGTTGGAGGGGCGGCCGCAGGCGGTGAAGGAGAGCTTTCAGGGGAGGGCGGCGGCGAGGAGTATGGAGCAGGCGAAGCTGTACATGGGACCGCTGTTTACGCATTTTAGGAATAGGGATCTGAAGAAGGAGCTGTACACGAAGATTTGTGAGATTGTGGTGGAGGCGCAGGCGAGGAGGTATGTCAAGGCGAACGATCTCTACTTGAGATTGAGCATTGGCAATGCGTGGGTTTCCCTATCTTGGTGTTTGAAGTCTAAATAGGGCTGTTCTAACGGGTGTGTAGTGCTTGGCCCATCGGTGTCACCATGGTGGGTATCCACGAACGTTCGGCGCGGGAGAAGCTGCATGAGAAGGGCATGGCTGCGCATATCATGAGCGACGAGGTCACGAGGAAGTTCCTGCAGAGCATCAAGCGGTGCCTGTCCTTCTGCCAGACGAGGTGGATCCCGGAGGACCCGTTGCAGATGATGGGGTAGTTTTGCACTTGAAAATTGCGAACGATATAGCATGGGGACTCGGAGTGTAATGCATTTTTATGGCTTTTCCTTTTCCTTTTCTTCTTTTCGTTTTGTGGGTTCTTTTATTCTTAGATTGTTAGCTTCAAGGGAAGATCCATCCAGTGGTCTGGGGTTGACACGAAAAGTTTGGGTTGTGGCGGTCAATGATATTATTGTCTGAGGATAATTATGAAACTAGTATTCAGGTTTAGGGTTTATAAATTATCTGATCCTGCACTTCTATCATTTCCACTGCCGCAAGCCCAGGTCCCATGCCCACTGTAAAGCAGACGCATGTTTAATGAGCCAGCGGCACCCGCACCGGCCACACTAGCTCTGACATACTCTTGGTACCTGTATATAAGAACTACCTCACTCCCACCCCCCCCCCTTTAAAATTTCGAAAGAGCTCCCCCCCCTTCTACCCATTGACAGGGTGAAAGGAGCCTTTCTACACCTGTGCTAGAAAGATGAGGCCTGTGCTGTGTGCAGGCAGATTGCGGTCTCCCAGTATAGGCGGGGTGCATGTAGGTTTCCACATATCATCACATGGGGATACCCGGCGATACGGAAGTACCCGATGCATGACTCCGAGCCCCAGGACACGGGGCGGGGTGGGAACCTTTGCTTGGCCTAGTTTACCGCGGCCGCCATCACTTGGAGGAAGACGACGAGACGCCATGACTCAATGCCACATACGGTGTCAGGGTCCATGGCTATCCGCCGGTTTTGCGGGGGCGGTGTGGGTGTAGTGGTTCCCCAGCTCGCGGCAGCTGGTCGGCGGTGGCAACGAGTGACGCTGATGTCCGGGTTGCTTCTCCATAGCACGGGGTTGGGGATACGGATGCCTATGATAAAAAGCCATGTGTCTGACTGGATTAAGAAATGGCGGGACGGTCGCAGCGGTAGCTAGGTGTTGGTATAAACACTGGCTGTTCCGCTCCCCTTTTTAACCCCGCTTCTTATAATCAACATCATCAGCTCTCTCTGCGGTCAGATCATAGCTCCAAGCTAGAAGCAACCTGACGGTGCATTGCAGAAGGGGCGGCGGTGGACCTTCTATAGGTCTCGGCGGTCTCGCCAGTATTTCCCCGCCGCACAGATGGTATCGGTGGGGATGCTGACATTCTTCTAGGTAGAAGAGCCTGTTTGTGTGTGGTTGGGGCCGTTTCGGGGGGGAGTGACGACTGTGAGTATATGTATTTGTCTGGCAACGGACGCCTTCCCTCTCTCTTGATCTCTCGAGTTTCGTTTGCGGACCTTACGCCGTGTCCGGCGCTGCAAAGTGGCTTCAGGGGGGGGGGGCGCAATGGCTGGGGAGAGGCTTGGAACGGGCGATTGCTTTCCTATTGAGTTTGTAACTCAGAGAAGGGTATGCATCAATCTATCCTTGCTATGAGACTTGGATGCTCAGAAAATTTGGATTGAGTATGGTGGTTCTTCATCTGGAAAGAAAGTGTCAAGCTGTGTCCCATCCAGCTAATGATACCGAAATTAATGAATTAAACAAAAAAAAAAAAAAAAAAGGAAAAAAAAAAGCTAATGATACCGTGGTATCTGGCTTTGGCGGGTGAAAGACGTTAATGTTGAACCTTGTGGTTACTAGTAATCACTGATAAGGCTTGAATGCATTGTTCATGGGTTAGACCCTCTTTGATTTGAACACTTCGAAGCAAATAACAATACATCTGGTCTGGACGTGCAGGAAAGTCTCTTGGACTATCAAAGTTTGTGTGCTATTCATTAACCCACCCATAAGCATATCTAACCCATCGTTCAGGTCCAGAAATCAAACACCTGATGCCTGTCCTCGATGCTTTCAACAATTAACACACGAACCACATATGTTTTACACCAGACAACAGCAGATACCATGGCACCTCTCTCGAGACCGACATAGCGCAGTACAGAGAAGTCGTAAGGGAGGAAACAGAAGATGCAATTGCGGTATCGCAAAAGCAAATGACGCGTTACCATAATAAGAAGCCTGCTGGACCCGATTTCTTCTCTGGATACGCATACATCTCACTAGTAAAGACGGGCTACACCCCTACCTTCGGTACGGAAAAGCAGGTTAGCTGCGCAAAGGACCGGTCCTTACAAGATACTCGATACGGACGTGCCCTTAAGCTGGAATTAAACCCTACTACCAAGATTGGTAGCGTCATATCCATAACTACAATAGCAAAAAAAAGGGGCTGTGATTGATACCGCTTTAATACCGTGTTGGTGCTATTGTTAAACAATTACAGTAATTAAATGAATTCTAGATTTACTACCACAGTCCAGGGAAAATTCTTTTAAATTAAGTGCTGCATGGAATGATTAATGCGATGAAGTGTACACTTCAGCATTCTCTAGAATCGGTATTCAAGTAGCATTTGAGCGCCCGCTCACTCCACTAGTGCCCGCCACCCCTGCTAGTACTGGCCGCTCCCCTGCTAGTACTGGCCTCTCGCCTACTAGTACTGGCCGCTCGCCTGTTACCGTTGACCGCTCGCCCGCACTTCTAGTACATGTTGTGCTAGTCACTCTCAACAACTTCACCAACTTCAACTTCACCAGCTTCATCAACTTCACCAACTTCATCAAATTCATCATGATCAACTCCACCAATATACTTCCGTCACGGGCGTCCGGATCGTTGACTCTATTGTATATAGATTCTGGACGACTTGAAAATTTATTTTTCAAAAGTAGATCGCGATTATTTCAAGCCCATTAACAAATGATAAGAATTGATGAACTTGTGGGTATATTTATATTTGGTGATCTTGAAAGCTTCATCCCCTAAATTGAGGTTTCGGGAAGTAGTTTTAGCTTTCCCTAAATACCACTGTAATACCACAAGACTGCTGCATTGTTTTAAATGCCGCAGTAGCGGTAAACTAGCAGTTGAGCCTAGTGCCGGTAGTACAAAATACTGTGCCATTACCGCCTTCTTATTATCACATATTATGCAAAAAATAATCTTTATTATAATGCTGTTTAATATTGTCTACAGCAGCATCACAGCATTACACCATATGCAGTCGCGTAACGGTACTGAGATTATCCCATTTTTTGCTACTGTAACCTGGAACCGGCTCCTAGGCGCAAAGACGACCCTTACGAGACAGTGACGCACGGTTACCAAAACAGCATTCGCGACCGTTGATTGCTATCCTTGTAACGAGAGTATCACTATCTGCAGTACCACTATAACGAGAGTCGATAGAAAGAGTCCAACACAAATGAGCTACCCTCTACGGCACCGGTACCCGCCGTCCGGTCATGACCGGCCAGCGTCTTTTCGGGTACAACCGCCCTTGATGCAACTAATTGTATATTCTGCTGCAACGGTTAGTACTTTAAAAAAAATGTATAGACTCGAAACCTACCTACTTGACGCCATTCCCTTTTCGGTAGCGTATCCCTGTCTCTCAGATACGTCGAGTGATAGTACGTGACCACGCTAAAAAAACATGACAGATGACAGCAAACGATAGCAAAAGCAAAAGCTATTCTTCTGGCTTCTTGAGTGCTCGATTGTTCTTGATATACTCCAAAGCTCGGAAATTCGGCCTGAAATTCCTACTTCCGTTTCAGGTGTCATCTGATACTTGACATTATCCGCGCGTTACCTTTTTATATATCAGGGAGCCTCGAAGATCCCAAAAGGTCCGCATCAAGCCATTCCTTAACATAATCTAGCCCAATAAGCGAGGCTATCCTGCAGATATCTTCCCAGATAGGTGCCAGAGGGATGGAGATCATCTTTTTAAAGAAGTGAACACACCGCGTCCATATCTGATATCTACTTTCCTTAAATATGTCAAATTTCCTACCATAGTTTTAAGGCAGATTTAAGCTCTATGGATCCAGGTCTAGAGACGATGTGACTCGCCCAGTTTTAAAGGCCACATGTCAGCCTCAACATGTAGGCTAGTGTGGGTTCCAGGGTTAGTTGTGAACCAATAGGAGGTCTTGTTTGTAGCCGCATTGCGAATAGAAGCTTTCTCCTTAATAATCAGCTAAGGTAAGGATTATTCTACGTTCGGCACAAGAAGACTTGCCTGAGTATCTCGGCTGGGACATTCGGTTCTTCTCATATGTGCCGGTTTACTAGGGAGGTGTTCTATTCGGCAATTCAGAGTTTGGTGCGCACGCAGTATTTGCTATCTCGCATTTTTGAAGAAGCACACACCAGCATATACAGTGCGGGGATATGATAACCCTCCATAGGCCAGAGCCTCACTTATAGATTCTCAAGACGTCAGCCAGGCGCCAACTTGATAAAATAACGTCTCTGCGCCCATCCCCACATTCAGTTCTTCGATTCATCCGCTACCACGAGCTTGAAATGTTCAAACTCTTTTCGCGAAAGAAGGTATTCCTTGCCACGTTGGTTTGTCTTCTCAGTTCTGCTTGCCAACTCAGACAATAACTCGTGCTTGACCACATATATCCAGAAGTCACGATCAGCCGACGACCGCGATGCATTTGGCCTAAAGGAGTTTGCCAAGGGGACAAACCCAATTATAGAGTATATTCTTCCTCCTAAGAGGACAACATAACTAGCATACAGTCATGTTAATCCGTAAATTTCTCCAGCATTGTTGCGATCCATGGCCTCAACGGCCACCGCGAGAGGTCCTGGACCGCCGATAACGGCGTGAATTGGCTCAAGGATTTGCTACCGGAGAAGAGCCCGAATGCGCGCATCTTTAGCTACGGGTATGATTCGAGGACGCATGGTCCGGTGTCGGAGCAGCATCTGCATGATCACGGTGTGGCGTTGGTGTCGGATCTGAGCTTGGTTAGGAGGTCGACGCAGGTAAGCTTGGTGTTCGGGTAGTTTGTTTGAACTAGCTTGGCCTGTGGGTTGGTTGGTTGGTTGGTGGTGGTGGCCAGAGTAAGGAAATCTGACATGGCATGGTACATGTGTAGACGGAAGGACGGCCGATAATCTTTATTGCACATAGCTTGGGTGGTATCATCTGTAAAAGTGTAGGTTTACCCTTTCCTCTGCTTCGGTGGATGTGGCTGGCGGCATGATGAGTCGAGCTAAGTCCTCAAGGCCTTGATACACGCTAGTCTGGCAAATAAGGACCATCTCGTCGCTCATAAGGATATTCACCTCTCCACGTACGGCATAATGTTTTTTTGGCACCCCCCACCAGGGTGGAAACGACGTCCCGCTGGCCAAATCGCTGATTAACATCGCATCTGTATTCATCGACACCAACACAAAGCTGCTAAAGCACCTGGAGATGCATTCGGAGATGCTGGAGCATCAGACAGAACAGTACACCTCAATCAGCGGCCAGTTTGAAACAAAGTTTCTGTACGAAACGTATATGACGCCGACCCCTGCTGGGAAAAAGTTGGTAGGTTCTTTCTTCTTTACACCCCCCCCCCCCCCCCTTGACCCACATAATCTTACTCGGTGTTTTCTGATGGACTGTAGATTGTACCAAAGTTTTCCGCGGTGATACCAGGCGCAATCAACGCTGAGGAAATTGGGATCAACAGGAATCACCGCGAGATGGTAAAGTTCCGATCGGCAGAGGATGAAGCGTTCCGCAAGGTATATCTTACGATAAATCTTATGATGTCTAGTGCGTTGCCGCACACTATCGAGAGACAGAGACGGCTACAGGAGGCCGAGCAAGAAGAAACCGACCTAAGGTAGAGAATGCTGCCGGATATAATATCGGGTATAGGGTATCGACGCTAAGGAACTACATTTTAGCTGGGCTGCCGCATATGCATGAGCTGTCGGCTGGAATATTGAGCGTATTTCTGGGGATTGGAGTATGGTGTATAGGGAGAACTTTTTGGTTTATTTGTTATCACTGATTTCACTATGCATTTTTTTTTTTGACTGCTTCAAATATTCCTTCATGACTTCCAAACGGAGAGAGGGTTGAAAAGCCCTTTCTAAAATATAACTTATGGCGCGGCATCTAAGTTCGGTGCAAATCGTTGGGTTAGGTTTGAGCCCGTGACTAAAACAACATCATATTCTTGGCCGAAGTTCAAACGGTCCGGAGCTAATATTATGAAGCCTGGTGGACTTGAAACAATGAGTTATTCGCTCAAGATATCACCGCAGAAAAGAAGAACAATCATTGAGTTAACCACCGAGAAAAAATATGCAATTAATGAATTAAACAATTAAACAAAAAAAACCGAGAAAAAATGAGTTCGTGATCGAGTGATATATGGTGATCGAGTCCCTTATTGACTATGTTACAGCAGAAGAGCAACTAGAGCCCCGTTAAGCGTTGGCAATCGACGGGCGAGATGATATATTGCGTACAGGTCAAAGACAGATATAAAATAAGGGTTTGTGTTTACGTGAGTTGAACACAGAATATCCCTTCAATGATGCCACACCTCTAGTTGTCTCTTAGCTATCACTCAGATATAGAGCTTTCATCGTTTTATAAATAGTCTAGATCATCTAGGCCCTTGATAAATGTTCCTTAATCACTTTATAAATAGTCTAGATCATCTAGGCCCTTGATAAATGTTCCTTAATCACTTTATGTGTGTATGGACCACAACAGAAGGAATACCTCCAGATGCAGGATTGGCTTCTATGTATCTTGTCACAATTTGCTAACATTGGTATTCCTACTAAATTCCGCGCGCTTAACCTTAACTGGTAGGTATATCGAGTGCTATATCATGACTAATATCAATCGGTGACTGCAGCTACAACATAGTATTGCAATAATCACACTCTTAAAATACAGATTCTAGGCCAGCAACCTAAACACCCCCCACCTTCTTCTTCTCAAATCCCGGTAGCGTGATAGACTCTGACTTCCCACTCTCTCCCCAGGTCAAAGCGCCGACATGCGGTTGCACATTCCAGTGGAATGTCAGTGTCACATTAGTCCTCTCTGACATCTTCCCGGTGATATCGTTAAGCTTGTATTTTGGCTTTTGGTTCTTGAGGTTGATTTTCGCCTTTGCGGGAGTGCTGACGATTCGGTCCCAGATCACAACTTCGTTCTCAGTCTATAACAGTTAGCGATTTGAAGCCATGAAATTAAGAGCGCGCAGGGATTGAAGGGTGGGCGGCATACAAATTTCTGGCCCGGGTAAGATACGGTGACGTAGGCGAAGACCTGCTTGGTATTCCAGTTGAAGAGGGGTTCCAGATCTAAAAATCCTTAGTCCCCGAATCAAAGCGCAGTGGACTCGAGTGAAGGGGGAGTAGCTTACCGGCTTCAAGATCGAAATTAATCGCGGCGAGCTCCTGAGGTTTCGAAGAATGGTATTGTCGGACTCTGCCTTTCGATCTATAGTACATCATCAATATCCGCCAGCTTTAGCCAGTCGCGCTTCACGTACACTTTAAAGTTGGTAATGTCAACAGCTGTGCCAGCTGTTGGTTCCGTTGGAAACAACACGCTTGACAGAGCTACCAGAGATGCGACACAGAAAGCAACCGTAGTGAAGAATCCAAAGACATTCTGAATGCGCACGAGTGAGGAATGCATATTTTGTTCGTACGGGGTGATGGTGTGTGGGTTAGTGGTTGGTGGGGACACGGGGTGGTGGAGTTGTTGAGAGAGGTTTGGCTTGTGGACACCGTCGTCAATTGTGGATTGAGGCTCAAGTTCGTTCGGGCGCTAGTCCTCTTTCGGTGCTTGCATTGTTTATGCAGGGTTTGTCTCTCAGATCCTTTTGGTTCACCCTAGGTAGTTTTCGGGATTTCAAAAAATCACACGAGAGAAAGAACTTGACCTACTCTAGGTATTCCACTGAAATAGAATCATGCATATAGAGTACTGTAGTACGTTCTAAAATTATGAGTTACCTACTCTACATAGCATACATAAGTATATGTGGAGGTCTCGGCGATCCACCTTTTGAAGACTTAGAGTCGATAAGTACTTGGGTATGGGAGAAAGAACCAGAAAATTCGATAGGGTTATTTATATGGAAGAGCGGCGCCACTCCATACAAATACATGTAATCCTGGTTCTTACTTAGCCCACCCGAGTAGAGGAGGAATGTACCTGGTGTTACCAAGTATGTAGCATTCGCTGACTTGGCAAATCCTTGGCGTCTCCACCTTAAATGCACTCTCCCCTCTTTAACACAGTGATAAGCAAACCAGTCCATCTGTTACAGTATTATCATTTGGCTTCTTGAATCCACGCGGCGATACATTTCTACATCAGAGAAACCTCTGTGGTCATCATCGACACTGTTGCAAAAGTCTTATACATGCTTTGATTTACGTCCGAGATCCATAATTGTTTGCTAATACCTATTTATAATTATGTCCTAGAACACGATGGCCGATATACCTTCGAATTATGCAGCACTCTGCCGGGTCGATGCAAAAAATACAGTTATAAACCAATTTGCATGTCCTATAGAGGATATAGAAACATACGAAGTGAGTCAACCGTCGATACCGATACTCTAGCTATTATGATTTATGGCTTCCTGAGAAAAATAGGGTTTGAAGGCTGCAGTTCTTTCTTTCTGGCCGCGGGGCACGATAGGCTTCTGCGACCCCGAAGATTTCCAAGTTATGACACCAGGAGCGTATATAGTGTGCGGGAAGTACTGGAACGACTTTTTTGCACAGCAAAAAACAAAGATATTTCATATTCGTTTCTACTAGCCCAATACCACCCCGGGGTCCCGGGCCTACTGAGATCGATAGGAAGTCACGCAATCTGTAGCCTTTACTAAGCTATGGGATAACCGTGCTATATCGATAGAGTGGTTTGGTTTGTCTTGGTTATATGAGGATAATGCGACATCAGTTTCCTTATGTTGGTTTGAGTGGAATTGAAGGATTGCCCGTTTGGTCAGTCGGTTTCGGGACAGTTAAGGGACGGTGTAAATAATGCATGTTAAGGCTCAAGGATTGATAACTACCGGAAGATCATGTATGTGGTTCTCTAGATAGACCCCGGTCCCGTTCATTTAGGCAACGATGCCAAGAATACTTCAGTCACACGCAGATAACATGCATGTATTTAGGGAAATGAACTATATTTCTAAAGGATTTAATTAAAAGAAGGCGATATACAACATTAAAAGTCTTCTTCACGTTACTAAAGGGTCATAACTAATCGGAGTATGGTTTGGCAGAAACAAAGAATATAAAGAGAAAGGAGTTGGGACTATTGAAGAGTCACCCTCTAGTATAACTATATTCGAATCATAATGTTTATAGCATTAGATAGAGCGGCTTTGGGACGCCCTGGGGTAGCTTCGAGGTAGCGCTCTCCTTGAAACCAATGTAGGCTAAACGTTGGTTTCCGGTCGTGACACTCCAGCTCTTGAGGTCATAATATGAGGCGATGGCATGAACCAACCAGCGTCTAAAAAATTCAGTATTCACCAGCCCATACGTGATATTTGGGGGGGGAGCTTACCCAAAGGAGGCACTAGGGTCTGACAGCAAGCTCTCAAAGAGAACCTTCTCCGTCACCCTCACATCTGCAACAGACGATACGGACGAACTCATGTCCGACTGTTTTCTATGCTGGTATCTCATCTTCTTGCTGATGAAGACAATCTCCTCGTCTGACTCATCTTCCACGTCCTCGATATTGACATGAACCGGACTCTCTGGACGTTCATGCTTCATCTCGCTAGAGGTTTCTTTTTCTTCGCCGAGAATGAACTTCCTGACTTCCTCCTCCAAAACGTGAAGTAGATCTACAGCAGCATGGGAACGCTTCAAGCGAGCCTTCAGCTCCCTTGGAACCTTATCAACAACCTCCTGCTTGGACTTTGCATTACGTTGATGTCGCTTTTGGAAGGCAGGAGTATCCCACAGGGAGGCGAATTCGTATGGAACGTGCTTCTGGGAATGTAGAGGCCTAGGCTCCCAATCTGCCGCTGAAGGAGGCACAACATGGGGGTTCGAAAGCAAGCGATCTACACAGCATTAGACCAAGAGCGCAAGTGCAAAGATATGCCAAGTACCATTCTCCCAACGTTGACGACGCCGACTACCCTCCTTTCCACGCAGCAATGCTTCGCGACGTTTCAAGCTATCTCGGCGTTCAGTGGGGGCTGCTGCGGCACGACGAGCCTTTGCGGTGGAAGGCTGTGGTTCGGGGTTGACGTCGAGAGGGATAGTTAGGGTAATGCCCGATGTGGCAAAACTTTGAGCGTTAGGAGGAGTAGGGTCGACGGGAGCCGGAGACAAGGGATGGATAGCCATGATGGGTGGTGATGTTCTTCAATATGGTTGGGAAATGGGAATTGAGGACACAGATGTACCTGATATAGAGGGGGGAGATGTCGACAATTGAAATGACAGGATGAATCACCTATAGGCTAGAAAGGAGAGAGAAGGGGGATGGAAGGGAGGTTAATCGGGGGTGTGGGTGGTAAAGATAGATGGACGAATAAAATGGATGGGAGTCAGAACGGGGGGGCTGATATCGTGGATGGCTGAATAGATAAGCAGAGATGGGACCCAGGGACATCCGGCTATCAGACAGATGCGGTTAACGGGGATAGGAGAGCCGAAATAACCCTATCCCATGACCACACACAGACCTTATCGTGCTAGGCTAGCACGTGCGGCCAACGATGAATCACAGCACAGATCGTGGGGACGGCGCTGTCGCCTGCATTCGAGGCTCCAGCTTTTGTTACATAATCACAATCTGTGGTACATGCCGTAGAGTACCCAATCATACTGTGCTACACTGTACTCCACTTCACACCATGGTCCATACTTATCCCGTGAAACACATCACCTCCCTCCCTTCCTCTTCTCTTTCTCATCTTTTGTTTGCCTGAACGCTTTACTTTTCCTTTAATCTTTGATCTTCCCGTCCTCTTTTTTCTATTCTTTTGCCCATTTACTATATGTCTATTTCCCTTCTCAGCCCCTCGTACCCCACAACTGACACCTGATAATCAATTTTCATCGTTTGTAGCTTCGGTGCCACCCTTACCGCTATTGGAACTCAACTATCAAACAACACCAACTAGATTCGGCGAGTTTACTTCGCTAAAGCCTCTGTATATGAGCAGTACAGGATTTGATCTCTCCCCGGTGATTGATCTTCTAGATTCACTCTCCGCGGGACCCAAACACCCATTTGTACTTGATCCCAAGGCTGTGGCATCTGGTGCCACTAGTGACGTGAGGTCACTAGGCGACTTTTCAGCTCTTTGGAGTTTCCTGAATGACTGTCACAATGACTCTACACCCCTTCCGTCTCTAGACAGCATCTTTACTCCACCTCCCTCCCCTCCTCCGCCTCCGGTTGATTCCCCTGAAAAGGGGACATCACGAAGGAGAAAGAGGAGAAGGAGTCCCAACGTCACAGTCACACTCAATGGAATGCCTATCGCCCCCGAACAGTCATCGGCTACCGATAGCACCGAAAACCATACTGATACTACTGAAGAGATACCTCGCAAACCTCCTCGAACCCGAATTCGTGTTACTTCGACTTTCGTAAATTCTGCGGATCCCGCGGAAAAGACATCCCGATCCACGCCCCGCATCCGCCTTACCCCTGCCAGAATTTTGCCCGGCGACGACGGTTTAGCACCCGTCGTTCAGAGCAATTCCCTGCCTGAGCGTCCGGTAATTCGGACCTCGGGGCTGCCCGTTAGCGAGCGTAAAGCCCAGCTAATCCAGATGATAATGCGCCTCTTCCCCTCAGACCGTGTCACCCTCCTTACGCTTGATATTCCCCGCCCCCTTGCGCCTCAACCCACTGATATACATATCTTTATCGACAATTCAAACGTGAGTGCACCACTTATATCTACAGTGTTGTCCTTGCTAACTCTGACTAGATTTTGATCAGCTTCTATGAACTGATTAAGCAGATTCGTGGTCAACCCAAAACCGCGCGGGTTCGCGCTCCTAAGTTCTCGTTTCATAATTTTTCGCTCATCCTCGAGCGCGGACGACCAACCGTCAAAAAGGCCCTTGTCGGCAGCTCTCCCATTACCCCTGTTATGCTTGAGGCCGAGGCTCTCGGATATGAAAATAGCATTCTCGAAAGAGTCGTTAAAGAGCGAGCTATTAAGTACAGCTCTTCTTCGGGCTCTGATACAAACAGCCCGCTGAAGACGCGTATGGCGAAGGTGGAACAGGCGGTTGATGAGATTCTTCATCTGAAAATGATGGAGTCAATCGTCGATTATGAGCCGAGTACACTAGTTCTGGCATCAGGTGATGCGGCGGCTGGGGAATACAGTCCGGGATTTTTTAAAGTGGTAGAGAGGGCATTGACGAAGGGCTGGAACGTCGAGCTGGTGGCTTTCAAAAAGAGCTTAGGATTCAGCTACAAGGCTGCTGAGTTTAAGACAAAGTGGAAGGGTAAATTTCGGTACATCCAACTGGACCAGTTTGCAGAGATGTTACTGGATGAGTGAGATTACCTAATTTTACCAAAACAACTATATCTTTCCGCCTTCTTCCCTCTATTTTTCTTTCTTTCTTGTTTTTTTCTCATTGTTTTTCAATGCATTTGCGCTTGGACCCTATTTGTGTGCGGTCTTCAAATTTCTAGGGACTTTTTTTTTGTCCCACTATGCGTTTTGCTTCTCATATTTTTTTCTCTCGACGCTTCAAGCAGAAGTTACTGGACAATGATTGGAATCGTAAAGGTTCACTAACCACATGTTTAGTCTCTTTTTTCTAGTTGATTGATTGCTTTAATGTTTCCTAGTGCTTTTTTTTTCCTCTTTTTTTTCCTCTTTTTCTTTTCCATTCTTCTTTTTGTATGAGGGGATGAGGTGCACCGTATTTTTTGTGTGCGTGCGACTGAGCTTTTCGGCTGGTCCAGTATTGTTGTTTGATATCTTTTTGTTTCTGAGGTTCGATTGATCTCTGCTATACTTGCTCAATGTTAGTAAGTGGATAGGTGGTTGGAAAGGAGAGGAGTTTGGGTGCCCCGAGAGGGATGTGCTCCTGAGTGGATCTTGGTTTTGAACCAGAGCATTGGATAGTAAAAGCGATGGGAACATATTTGATGCCAGCTCAGGTTGATCTTGACTGGCGATCATCGACTAGGGGTTGTCTGATCTACCTATTTACTAGCTAACGTGCTGGTTACATGGTTATACAAATATCAATGTTCTGTTCGGGGCGATTGACGTCTTACTTAAGGCGATCGATCTGTTCTCTAAATCACTTGTTCTCAAGAATTTGTTTCAGTTCATAGTCCTCATGTTGGCGGGTTTGAGAGTGGGCAAATGCGTGGCTATTACTCTACATGTCGATCACTTCAGCTTACTTGCCAGGCCGTCCCGTTCAGCATTTCCTGGATGTATTGGATTATACAAACGATCTACAACATAAGAGCGCGCGCGAGAAGCAGGTAACGGGGAAACCGGCCCCTAAACTTCCGCTTATTCCAGCACATCCACAAACACCTGCTAGCCGCTAATGGCGCACGTATAAAACATTCTACAACGCACCATAATTCACAGCTCGCAACACTAAGACAGAGGTCACTAACAACAGCAACATAGGGAGTTTGGGCTGGCATTGGACTAATCGGAGGGCAAGAGCATCTGGGGGGATTATGGGGCGCGTGGGATAAGGGTTGTGATAGTGGTGAAGAGGTGTATTTAAGGGGCCCTGATATAGGGATAGGGCGCGGGATTAATGCTTGTGAGGGGACAATGAGATTGGTCGCGGGTTGGTCGCGGGTTGGTCGATGATGGGTTCTTCTGGTTGAATCAATCGGCCGGTGGAATATTACTATGGTCGTGAGCGCTGGCTATGAGGATTTCGTAAGGTTCCGACTCTGGGAAGGGGGTGGCGGTGGTAGTGGTGGCGATAAGAAGTTGCAGTTACAGAACACCTACGGTGTAACCAGAGTTTCGGGTCTCCGACGTCTTAACTAACGAATAGCAGCTCAGGACGGAGATATCGCCAGCGCGCTATATATCCGGTTTGTAGCATATTAGTTTTAAGAGATGGTATGAAGTTAGTGCCCGCATGGTGGCTGTGTAGTTTTAGTACTTAGTTGTTCAAATAGCGAAAGATTGCCAACCCCCCGAACACCTTTAACCGTCCATAATAATAACTTGACCACAGCAACGGGCCATCCATCCACAATCGAGGTCCACCTAGGTTCAAGCGCCATCTATATCTAGTATTAAAAACGCTGCCCTAGGGTCCTAGAGTCCAGTTGACATCTTACAGCCCGGGGCACCTCTATTTTCGGTACCGTGTTTCCATCCCCACGTCATTAGCGCCGGCTCGTTAATGCATATACGGCACGTGCAGTGCTGCAAGTAGGGACCATGAAGGCCGCCTCGACCCCAGACTCGGCGCTGAAGTCGTAGTTAAGCTCCTCAAGACTAGTAAAATTCCGATACTGATCCGTATTCTGTAGCTCCAGCACGGAGACACAAAGCGAAGCTGCACGGCAATATCGATAGCTAATCATGATATATCACTCGGCTGCTAGCCACAACGTGGGGGAACATATACCGCGGCTCGCCCATGTCCTCCCCCTCAATCCTATGAAAAAGACTGATATACGTGTAAAGATTATCGATATCCACTGCTAGAGACCGGTGGCGTTAGTTCTGTGTAGGTTAGTTGCAAGGCCGTGTGCCTACCCTGCCCCTCTCTCGACAGGCAGTTGTTGCCGCAGCCGGAACAACGAATCCGCTCCGACTTGGATATTTCGTTCCTTCACCTTTAATAAACTATTCTGAGCGTACAGTCAAATCTCGATGGGATTAGCACGGCCTGAACCACCCAGTGCCGTCAAAAGATACACCCTCGAGCTAGACTCCAAGTCCCAAGTAACCCGATTAGCAGTGCACACCAAACTAGCCCCCTCTTTGCATTCTAATGCTTCCACGATCGAATGAAATATACTGGTCGAGTGCTAGGCATTAGTATTCCAATTGTTAGGGTCTAGGTTGCTCTAGTCCCTCCGAGTACTCGTTGCTTGTAGAGCGCTGGCGCAAAGGGTCTGTCTTGTCGGGGTTGCACACTCTGATGGACCAACAGAGCCAAACACTCGGGACATAGACGTTTTTAGTCAAGCTGAACACCCAGCTGCATGCTCCGGACGGGTGTCGGCCGACGATGGGCACGTCAGTTGCCCATATATCGATTGATGAGGATACTACGCACACACCATTATTATAAAGTATCGGTGCTTCTATATATTAGCTGCTGTAGCGATTATAAAGTTGCTCCCAAGTTCGCTATGAATAGCAAATTCTAAGGCGAGGAGAGCGAGATTTTGAAGTCGTAGACGTACAGCCGCATTCGAAAAGTACAGGCACCCTACTATATTGAGTCGTTCATGAATTGTAGCCCACCAACAACCATGGCACTCGCGTATACTCAACTTATTGACAGGTATGACTGCAATAGAGACATTGCAGCTCTCTCTGATAACGGTCTCGAATATTAGAATTGCAAAGTAGAAAGGACTGCCTCGTGAGTTTAGTCCGGAGGTGCCAAAACTTTCCGAATGCGGCCGTACTTGGCTGCGTTTGGACGGATTTTGAAGCCGAGTGATAGGCTATGATGTAAACTATTTCCCCTGCCAGATTCCTTGACGGTAATTATATACGCGCTTATCTCTTGTTACCAGCCAAGCCCGAGAATCTGCTTGCTCAATCAACCTCCTTGTGGGACAGTGTGGGTCTTTTCATCGGGAGGTTCACCTTTTTCGAGGCTATATGCTGTCCTGTATGATCTGCGGCGAGGGTATAACGCGATAGTAGACTCGTATTGTCCTGTTTCCTGTACGACTCCCATCTCATCAAGTGGTCGGAGCATCATGGATGATCACTCGACTAAAATAACCACCGTAAACCTCGATGTTTAGATGTTTAATAAGGATCGAAGATATTAAGAACGTTGTTACTGCTCAATCACCTGTAGCGTCTAGTCCCCGTTATTTGCCGATCAGTTTTGAAACACCAGAAGTGTCGAAGAGTTGATATTAGGCGGTATATCTCATCTGGAGCCCTGATATCGATTTCTATTTCAACGAAATTGAGCCTCATCTATAGCGGTAGATCGAGACTGTGATTCTCTGCTTCGAATCCCATTATTCGAGTCCTAGGCCTGTGCCTGATTTATAGCCTTCTTCAAGTTCGAGGGAAGCTTCTAGATGAACAGTTTCTAGCCCGATGATTGCATATTTGCCTGGACGCCTTACATTTAGCCCTAGGCCTACAAACAGCGGCCAATATTTGCTAGTTTGCTAGTTTGTTAGTTTGCTTGTCTGCTTGTCTGCTTGTTTGCTTTCCCTGTTTCCCCACCTTCTCGAAAGCCCTAGATTGGCAAACATACCAAGTTTGCTGGTTCGCGTGGTCGATTCACTGTTTATCTCACCTTCTCGAAAGCTCTAGACCGAGAAACCTCCCAAGTATGCTTGCCTCTCTGTTCGCTTTCCCTAATCGAAAGCCCTAGAGCGGCAAAAATCCCTATGTTTGCCCTCATAAGAGCAAGCTCTAATTCGAAAGGAATTCAATTTATGGGCATTAGGATAGAGTATATAAGGAGCCTTCCCCCCCCTCTCCCCTGCACTCCCCATCCTCCTTCTCTTCTTTCCTACCACCAGCAATCAAGATACTCACCAAGAGGCCTGAAGCTGCTGACATTTCTTTTCATCCCCGCCGGCCATCAGAATATCCCTCGAGGGGACTGAGACCGGATGTGATTGCTTTCGAAATTTCTTTCCCTTATCATCGGTAGTCAGGGTTCTCGTCAAGGGACCTGATACTGAGCGAGGTGTTCCTTTTCTCATAATAATAACTGACGGTCATCAGAATAACCATCAAGGGACCTGAGACTGGATAGGATCTATTTTTTTCTCATGGAAATTAGTATTTGGAGTTCTTACCAAAAGACTCGCTAGTGGCTGGGATATTTTCTTTTCTCAATAATCACTATCGTTTCCTCATAGTCGTCGCTATCGGTCCTCGGAATAACCATCAAGGGAACTGAGACTGAGAGGGATGAATCTCTTTCTATACTCCATCAGTACTCGGAGTCTACTCAAGAGACCTGTAAATCGACGACTCGGTTTCTTTTTAGCATGGTCATGCCCACCGGTCGCCAGGATATCCATCAAGGGAGCTAAGACTGGATAGAATGATTTCTATTTAATATTCGACTTTCTTTCCGATCATCATAAGTACGGAGTTCTCATCAAGAGGCTTGACACTTAATGGGATGACTTCTTTCCATCATTCTCATAACCGCTAGTCATTTAACTTTCTATCAAGGAAACCGAGGCTGGGGGGGGTTAATTTCTTTTCACCACTGGTTATCTGGATATCTATAAAGGGCCCTAGAACAGGGAGCGATGCTTTCTTTTCTCATCCATCGGTCGTCAAGAAAACGATTAGGAGGATCGAGCCCGGGCGGGGATTACTCTCTTTTC